AGTGCAAATCATCTCACGCCACCTGTACCTACTTCTGTGATCCTACCTCCTACCCTCCTCCCACGTCCACCCATGTCAACCTCATTCCCAGAGCACCAGCATTTGCTGTTCCTTTTGTCCAATACAGTATCTTCTAGGTCAGTGATGATGAGCTTATGGCACACATGCCCCAGTATTTATTATTGAATATTCTAAAAGGTTCACCATTACTGCTCTAGGTCAAATACGCAAAGCCAACTCCTTGTTCCCAGTTCAAGGCTTGCTGCTTCCTTTACTTCCTTAATGATTCCAAGTAACAGTGCACTACTGCCTCCTCACTACTCTCCACTGTCCATTTATGTTCTTTACAGCACATGTCAGTGTCTAGACTGCCCAGTCCACATTTACATGTTTCTTTGCTTACTTTCCAATTTTTAGAACCATCAGAAACCTTATCATCAATAGGCTTCCAGCAACAAATCTTGGCACACAGCATATTCAAAAAGACATGTTTCTCTGAACACTGTTGTGCTGCTGAGAGAATTGAATAATAAAACCAACATAAACACAAAACCTGGTTTCTCCTCACTGAAAGAATCTGGAGATGGCTACACTGAAGAGAAGACAGACAATTCGGAAAGGACAAAAGGCAGTGTTTCAAGGCGGGTCAGTCTAAAGGTTGTTTCTGCAGGAGGTTTCCAGAGTACAGCCCTCTTCCTGGACATAGCAAGTGCTTCACTATTGGTGAAAGTTCAGGTTTTAGAGAGGTCTAGGAAATACGTGTTTTCTATATTTGTAAGTGAGGAGTTCAAGGAAAGACGTCACCTGGAAAAATAGCTCACGGCAGTGTCGTGGACACTGAGAAAAATCAAGGACAAGAGGAGGGGAAACAGTACTGCCACCCACACTGACGGGAGAGTCCTTAGCTCAGCTGCTCGGGGCTTTAGGACTGCAGGAGGGTTCCTTCCAGTGCATGGCTTGTAATACGCAAAGTGAGAGATCCAGACCTACGTTTTCCCTATCATGTTTCAACCTGTTATTTAATGAGATTTTGAAAATTTGCAGATGAAGAAGGGTTCTAATTTGGAAACATAATTGTTTCCTACCTCTTGAACTTAATATGTAAAAAAGAAAGAGGCCTCAAGAGTTAATAAAGAGCTCTGACTCGGTATTTGGCCCTCTGGCTGCTGGAAGCAGGCTTTCCTCTGTCGCACACTCAGAAAGTGCCTTGAATCTCACTGGACACCTGATCTGGTTCTCTAGGGGCTATACTGCAAGCTCCCAAATCATGAATGACAGCAAAGAAAACAAAAAAAGAAATGAACGAAAGAGAGTAAGGGCAGGTAAAGGAGAGGAGAGAAGAAAAAAGTGCATGATATCCTCAGCTGAATTACCCTGGAAACATGATCATCACGCTATCACGAGGGGCTCCCGATGGTTTTATGTTCTGAAGAGGTTGGACAGGATCCTGATCCTCTTTTCAGGGAATCACCAAGTCACAGAGGTCTGTCTTGGTCCTTGAATTCTTAACAAAGAGGACAGACAACTAGCCAGACAGGTATAATCACATTATCTAGGGGCCCTGGGATTCTAGCCTGATTCTGAGGAGCACGTAACATTGAGAATGGATTGCAGTTCTTCAAATAACAGTAGTTTTGGGGGAGACATGTGAGGTTCCTGGGGTGACAGAAGGGTTCCACAGGACTGAGGTATAGGGGTCAACTTTGGCATTTTGTTGCTTATTCATACATGAGTTATTAGTTCCAGGACTGAAGATTTCCTTTAATATATAATTAAAGTAAACATGAACAGAATACATTGATATAAACATGTTTATCAATAAATATAATTTATTAATAAAAAATCTTTGTAGGCTTCTGTTTTTCTAAGAATGCATTCCTGGAAACTACATCAAAAGCAGATAATCTTAAAGCAAGGGTGCTTTCGCCAGAAATAAATGTAGAACCAGGAATCCTAATACTTTCAAAGCCTTAACTTCAAATAAATCATAGCTATATCAAACAATGCCATAAAACCAAAGAAACAGCCATCAGCAAAATTTGTAATCCTTTTAAATTATAGAATTAATGTCTATGCTCTATGTGATGGACACACAGGCGGTACAAACATGATACACATGGGAAGATCAGTGCTTTCAAAACTGCACAGATAGCCCCATTTGTAATTCTATTTTGTTAAAAATGTAAACAAAAGTAAGGTATTAGCTAAGATAATCTTAACAAGAATCAACCATAATTACATAGACTACCGTGTCAGGAAAAATGTCAAAAATTATTTGGTTCAATACTTTAGGAGACACTATGTAACTTTCTGGTCTATGTTTGATTTTTTTCATAGTATTCATATACATGTAAATTGAGTGTACAAGATGGGAATGGTTTTAGTGGCTCAGTTTTTTTTCCTCCAAGCATGTTTTTACTTGGCAAATAGGCATTTGAATTTAGTTCATCTGACTTTGAAGTTACTGAAACATAGGCAATTCTTAACAAAATTAGCCTGTGGTCTCTATGGCATTCCATCTACTTATTTAACTTTAAGAATAACACAATCATTTTACGTGAGTGTCTTTGATATATGAATTCAAGTGCTGGGCAGCCTGAAGTGCTCAGATGAGAAGGGGCAGATATGGAAGAACCAGAGGCTGCTCCTTAGGGATTATTTCAACACAGAAAGCTTATTCTCTAAATTTCATTTTCTCCTGGTGAATACATTCTTAGCCCTTAGAAGCTCAGGCACATCCACAATAACTCAAAACATCCAGGGTAATAAACATATGCAACATTATTTTATAATTTACAGAATGTTTCCACAAAAATGTCTCAGTGACACCTTTGTGAAGTCCGCAGACACTATCTCTGAGCCAACTTGATTAGCTTAGTTTACCTAGTAGGTCAGTCAGTCAGTGCACGGTGCACGTATCCCTCCTCACCAGCGTTCGTGGGGGTGGTGAGTGGGCTGGACCTGCAGCCATCTCAGGTTACTGGAGTCTGGTCACTGGGTCCACAGCTGTGGGTCTCAGAAGCTTGTGGCTCCTCTCCTTGTTAGAAAAGAACGACCCTCAAAACGGTGTGTGCTCCAAATGGTGGTTGTTGAAGTGGAGGGCAGAGAACCAGTGATTTAAAAAACCAAGGAGGCCTGGTCTAGCCACAGTCAGCATGCACGGTAGAACTCAAAAAAAGCTTCTTCACATCCGACAAGAATAGATTCCCAGCTGAAGCTGCTCCAGTGATCAGCGAGAGTGCCAGCCTCTGTGAAGAGCCTTTTGGGCTGGGGTGGGATTTCTCCACAGCAGTCAGGAGTTTTAAATAATATTTCTCTTTCAGAGTTTCTTTCTCATCCCTAAGGCATAGCTTCCTCCTCAACAAAGTCAATCTTTTACAAGACAAAGAATTCTTGCTGGCAATCTTCCTCATTCCAAAGTCTCTTTCCTAACAAGTGTCACTGCAGAACTAAAGTAAACATAACGGAAATGATAAATGACACTACTTGAGCAGTAAGAGGAAAGATAGTATGATAAATAATCCTGAGACACTTATCAAGTCACAGTCAAGATGAGCATTTAAACCTTGAGCAGCCCTAGGAAGTGGCATTTTCTTCCCCGGACTTTTGCTTTACAGGAGCTGGAAAGACCAATGGCCTCAGCTTTGAGGGAAGGACCACCTGGTTTCAATTGGAAGAGCAAAGTTCCCAAGGTCAGGAGTCTGGGAGGCCCAGAGGAGGTGGACAGTGCCTTGGAAACAAAGCCAAATGGCAGGCAGGCCATGGCTTTTCGAGGTAGCAGATGGCTGTAGCAGCATCCTGTTATCCTTGAAACACAAAGAAATCTAAAAGACTCCCCAGTCCAAACTTCAGTATGCAGACTTGGAAAGTAAGGTCCAGAGATGGAAGGACATTGTTCAAGGTCTCACAGCAAATCAGAAGTAGAGTCAGAACCAGAACCTCCGTCCTCTAAGCTCTAGTCATTACTTGCTGCTCCCAGCACGCTGGGCTCTGTGCTCCCCAACTGGGGGGACTGGAGAGATGCTGAGGTCACACTGTGAAAGTCAATAGTCCTCTCCTGTGGGAGCAAGAAGGCCAGATTCAGATGTTTGCAGATTCACCACAAGGTCATGGAAAAGATTCCAAACCCCTGCGAAGCTGCCAGCCCTGCTTGAGACTCCTTAGAAGATGTCCTGTTCCAGCCACACGGGTCAGGGAGCATCTCAGAGCAGACACACCTGTGCATCCACACCATGGGAAGCTGTCTGTCTTCCTTCAGATTCCCTCAAAGTTTGCTGCGGAGACATTTCCACTGCCAGGCTTCTGCTCCTGTGTCCTTTGTGGAAAATAAATGGAGCATGTCCTGAAGGAAAGGACTGACAGTAGATGTCAGAGAGAGCAAGCAGAAGTCTGCGACTGACACAAGGCCTAGTCAAGAGGAGGATGGAGGATTGGGCCCAGATACAGAGGAGAAAGTGTGTTAGTGTCTGACACAGAACAGGATTAAGAAGCGACAATATTTCTGTGTATGGCTGTGATACACATTACCAAGCAAAAAAAAAAAAAGGAAGCTCTTGGAACACAACTGTGACCAAGACAGGCACAAGGAGGATGTTTTTGGGCAACCTCTTTGAGCAGGCACAGCAAGGCATATTTGGAAACGTCCACGACTGAGATAGGACACAGTGAGCAGCTGTGTTTAGAACACAGTGAGACAGACCAGGCAGAGCAGGAAAGCATGTCAGGGACATCAGAGACTATCAAGCAAGAGCAGAGGCTCCAGGAGGAAGGAATGATGGGAAATACAGGAAAAGGTGAACAAAGAGGCCATTCTGTTCCCTGGCTCCCTCAAATGCCACCTGCTGGAATCCCGAGGAAGAGGCCGGTGGGTCTAGGGCACCTGCACTCGTCGATGGAAGCCTTGGTGGAGGGAATGCCAGGTGCAGTCACGCGCAAGCAGCCGCTTAGGACCTGGCCCTCTCTCAGAGCCACAGTGTCTTCCGGGTCATTGTCCCAGGGGCCTAAGTGTCAATGGGCTGAGCAGCCACCAAAGGAGAACTTGCTGCAGGGTGGCACTGACTCTCCCATTGGCCACCACACTCCACTGTATCCCTGGAGGGGGAAAAGATTAGAGAACCTCAGCGTTGACCATCAAGGAGTCGCTTGTAAAAGAGCCCACCCAGTTCAGGAACTCCTTGTACTGTGCAGACGGGTGGTGGTTTAGCTAGAGATCCCAATGACCACAGCTTGTAATAATTTTTAAGAAATTTTAGCTAGTAGAATAACTAAATATAGCCTATTCGGGGGCAGCCTAAATCTGCCTTTCTATAATTGTGATCCAGTGGGGTTACTATATCCTTCAAACATACTTAAAATTCTTCCCTTTGCTGATTATGTTCTTCAAATTTTCTTCTTTTGAGCCTACACTTTTCCATTTTCTAACTGGTTCACTCTATATATTACAGTTTCTAGATTATGTCCCACGATGGACCCTGAGCTCTGAACACAGGGAATGGGGAAAAAGAAGGGAAAATAAAAAGAACTAAGGTGTACTGTGCACAGACACCAACTCTCCATGCTGAATACAATCATTACATAAATAAGCATGTAACAAAAAAAAGAAAAGTGATAAGTAGTGTAAATCTTCACAGTGAGCCTCACATTTTATGTACTTTTTATCATCAGTTTAGTTTACTTATATAAAGGTAGTTAAATTCAGTTTATTTCTAACAACCATAATTTACACTATTGGCTGATACAGAGCTTGTTGGCAACTTTTACCTTTTTAACACAGTAACTGTGCATTCCTGCCATTCTTTACCATGTCATTACAGTTGGTTTTATTTAATTGAGTCAAAATGTATGGAGAACATTATATTTGTCTCAGTTAAACAGGCTTGGTAGCATTTTGATTGGTTGAGATTATTCTAAATAGAGTGATTTCAACATTTAAGATGATTATTTAAGTTTTAAACATTTTTCAAGAACACTGGTAGATTTGGTAATTTATATGCTACCTAGATCTTTCATCTTAGTATTGCTTGTCTTTTATTTTGTAAATTTTTCACTTGCTTTTTAAATTGTTCATCAGGACAATAATAAAACAGGATTATGATGTACCATCCCAGACATCCTTGCTACATGTCAGGCTTGCAACATTCAGTGTGTCTGAGAACAGACCCACCAATGGCAGGCTCTGTTTAATGCCTTTCTGAAATGACTCTGCCAAACAATAAGTCTAAGACATTTATTTGGAATGAGTTATTTTTAATGAGACACTAATTCTTATTCACCAATCATTCGTATAATAGGTGCCTTTAAACTGTAAAGTCTATTTGAAATGATGAATCTATAGTTTCTGCAATCTAGTTTAGTCTTCTCAAAAATTTGGAACACTGTTAACTTGTATCTAGGCTTCCACTTTTTCCCCAGTCCTAGAAGACCATTATTCAAAAGTTTTACCAAAGAGATATTAAGCCCCTGAAGTACAAAACATCTTGGCTCAGAGACAGTTAAATGCTTTCCATCAATTCTAGATAGGAACTTTCTCCCTATAATGCTCGCTTCTTTCCAGTTAGAAGTCTATTCTTATTGTGCAGAATATGCAAAATTTCTTCCTTAAATAATGAGATCTGACTATTTCTGGGTTTGCAACTTGCTCTGCACATAGCTTTTGATTCATCCTTGGTTATTCATCCTTTCTTCCAGATTTTCCACATGCCATTTTAAAAGAGGATGCTTTCTGGATAACTCAGGCTGTGCCCTCACATCTTTATGTGCTTTCCTCCATTCTTATCTACCTCATTCCTTGAATATATCTGCTAGGAGGGAAAAAAAGAATGAATGGAGGGAGGAGGGAAAGTAGAAAGAAGGACTGCTCACCTCTTATTAGCTAAATTTGTATTCTATTGGTTATCCTCATACTTATCAGTAATAAAGGCTCACACACATTGGACCAGCATGTACGTGCCACACACCAGGCCAAGTGCATTAGATGCATTAATTTATGTATTTTATGTTTACTTACTAGACAAGAAAATCAAATTTCAGAGATTTTAGATAGTTTGCCCAAGTCAAAAGAATTAATAAGTAGCAGGTCTGAGTTTACATTTGGGTCATTTTTGACTAGACTTTAAGGACTTTGTGAGCACATAGGAAGAGCAGATAATATACGCTGCTACCTAGAAATGATAGATTGCTGTGTTTTTCATTGTTCTGCTCTATTGTTCCTCATCTTGAGAACTGCTCTTTCTAAGTCAGTTGCTCAGGCTCTGCCGCGTCTAGTACTTTCTTGTCCCAATATGGCAGACTCCAGGAGGAGATGCAGGATGGATTTGTTCCACCTATGAGACGCCAACAGTGTGGCATGGCTTCCCAGTTTTTACAACACAGCATGGCTGAGATGTTAAGACAGATGTGCTCACCCTTCCCGCTCACTAAAGCAGAGCCCAGAGGGGTTCTATCAAGTGGGGAAACCAAGTGTAAAGGAAAGGCAACCTATAAAATCAGGAGAGTAGGGAGTACCTAGGGACAGGGGCTTGGTGGATAAACATTATGAGAAGGAGAATGGATAAAAGACAAAGCAGGAAGACCAAGGCTAAGGGAAACCAGGCAACTAGCTGTGTGGGAGGTTCCAGAGACACTGTAAAGAAAGCATGGGGTTTTTTTGAGAAGGGTCCCTGAATGTTATGTTTGCTTTTCTTTACAATTCTTCTCAGGAGCCAAAGATTGAAAATACTCTATAATTGCCATTTGATACCTGGTGCCATTCCTTCTTATTCAGAATATACAAGTATAGCTAAATAAGCTGTGAGAAAGACCCCACCTTCCTTTCAGCAGGACAAAAGAGAGCTTGAAAATAAAGCCAGATGATTTTATGTTCCAGTCAGCCCATAATTGTATCAGTTTATATTATCACCATTATTAACAGTTCAGAGTCTGGGATCATCTGACTTTTAGCTCTACATGCAAGATTTAAAAAAATAGGATGCATTATGCTACAGCATGAAAGACTGCCTTCCAGTGCAGTAGATCGCTCACACCGCGCATGGCTTTCATATTCATGGTGCCTCTTTCACTCCCAGCCCAAGGTCACCCCATCGGTTCAGGCGGTGAAGGAGCAGAGTCCAGCAATGTAAGCAGTAAATGGGAAAACAGGGAGCTGCGTTTCATAGTCCTTTTAATCTCCAGTTAAGTGACTCTGATGACATTCTCATTCCTTGCCTCATTTTCCTCTTTTGTTAAATGAGGGGGAGAATAATCTATGATACTTTTTGTGGCCATGACATTCTGAATCTGTGAGTACCAGGGATGGTGGGTGACAGATATAGGCATTCTGATTGGGTGGCAGCTGTGTGTGGGACTGTTCTCCAAAGCTGTGGATAATTGCTTCAAACATGGCTTTTAATATTCTATTGTTAGGATCTGATACTTTATATTCCAGGTGGAGGGAAGAGGCTTTGCTGAAACACAAGGAAGCTAATTTTTACATTTGAATTAAAGAATTAAAGAAAGACCTCAATTTCTGAATCTGTGAAATTTAACTGCAAAGCTGAGGAGATAGGATCGGGTAGGGCTGAGGAGCCATAATTTAAAATGCAGCGAGATCACAACTGTCTCTCCTCAAACATATGCTTGAGGAAACATTGGCAGCCCTGCTCAAAATCCCTGATGCAAAAACATCCTTGAAATTTTTATCCAATATTTCAATAGATGAGTTTTATGATGCAGTTTCTAGTTCCATAAAACTCTTTTTAATTTACAATCTTACATTGTCATACGTAGATTTTACATTAAGTTTTCAACACAAGTCTTTAAGAAAGAATATACAGCCTATTACTTCCATTTCAGAGGAAGAAGAGAGTACAATTTTGAAACGCTGATTTGTTGATGGCTAACTGCAGATCCAGTGCTATAAATTGAGATTTCTATCCAATTCTGCCTCCCCCAAAAGGAATCCCATCCCCTGGAAAATATAGAAACCATTTGTGTGATGTAAAGAATTATGCTACTATTATGGTTTACGAAATAACATTATCTGTGTTTCATACAAAGAAGGACAAAGCAGAGGAGAATCTGTAGGTGTCACAAAGGTCCAGAGAGCTGATTCTAGTACCAGCATACCTCCTTCCCTATTTCTCAATATAAACACATATCTGAGAAGTCAAACCATTTGTGTGTAAAATTTTTGCCCCAATATCTATAACAATTCCAAGAGACTGGACTAGACTAGACTTGACTAGACTAGACTAGAGTTAAATAGAAGAACAGAGCTTTTAATCCTTATGTAGGTCAGATTGTCCATCTACCTTTTTGCTAAACTATTTCAATATGAGAGAACCTAAACATACCCAGGAGAAAATACTTTTGAAGTACATATTCACAGCAAAAATAGTAAACCTTTGCTGAGTGCTTATTATATGCTGATTACTATGCTAAACAAATCATGAATTGCCACATATAATCTTCACAAGAATTGCAATTGCATAGGATTTATTATTTGCAGAGTCTCACTGAATGGAATGAGGCCTATTAACTTGTCCCAGGAGGAAGATGTACAGAGCAGTGGAGTCAGGATCTGAACCTGAACCTCCGTGAATTGGTGCCACTAAATATGCACTGTCAGCAAACAGGTAGCTTCAGCCACGAGATACTGCTTTTGAGAAGGTGTCTATGTGAATGAGGGTGTCAGATGCACAGAATGTTTAACATGTGGGGAAATGAGCTGCATTTCCTAGAGAAAGAGAAGTAGGTTGCAAGAGAACCTAGAGGGGGAAGCAATTAATTATTGCTCAGAGATTGAGGAGGTTGATATTAAGCAGGTTTAGAGGTTTCATATTAGAAGTGTGGCTGGAAGAAATATGAGGCTTATGCTGGGTACAGCAAAGTAAAAACAGAGCATTCCAGGCAGCTGCAATGGTCCAGTGATGGAGAGTTCACTGTCTTTTTGGGCAAAGCGAACCAATCTAGCGTGTTTATTGCATGAAAAGGTAGATCAGGGAAGAAGGGCCACAGAGGGGAGAATCGAGAGAAACAAGCTGGAAAACGAGATTGCATCAGGCAAAGAAAGGCTTTACACATTCTTCACTATCAGCCGAGTCGCACTATGTTCT